CCACCTCCATTTTGACTCAATGTGTTCCGCACCAGTTCTCTTATTCATTTTGTTGCACAATGGATAGTACAATGGATAGTAATTGGGCTGCGCAATGAAAGGCACACAGGATGCGGCGCCCTCAACGAGTCCCTGAAGAAGACGAATGGCTTACAAGCAGACTCTATCAACATCGAAAATCCTTCAAAGGATTTTCCCGCAAACTTTCTGGCTAGATGGGTCGGACGGGGTTGTTCAGCCAAGGTTGCATCTCTTACGGGCGAGTCCTGCCCAACGTCTACCAAGGCAGGCAGTAATACCTAGTCGGGTCCTTGCAACGTGGGACGTGAGCGTCACAAATGCAGTGTGGTGAATAACAGACGGGCACCGCCGACCTAGATGCGCAGCCCCACTCTGGGTGTCTCCCGACCTCTCGACTCCCAACTCTCGACCCTAATAGCTCACATCTTGCCCTTCTCTTTCACAAAAGCCCGTGGTCTAGTGGGGTTACTAGGCGCTTTCATGCGAGTTTTTCTCTGAAAGTCCCACGGCACGGGTGCGCAAGTTCGAATCCCACTCTCTCAGTGGGTTCTTGCTCTACCGCCGTTAGAAAAATCCCTTGCATCGTTACTTACACCTGAGGTTGGTAAGAATCTCAAGCTGAACTTTTTGCCTTTGTGATCTTTGAAACGTTCACTCCATGTGGATCTTAATAAAACGTAGTCTTCTCCTTATCATTACTTCTATTAGGTAAAAGAACAGTGTCCTGAGAAGGCTGTGCAGGTTGCATACGATATTTCAATTTTAGATAGGATATGCAATTATTTGCGACGACAGCCTCTATAATGTATGACATGATGAATACGTTTTATGTAACGGCATAGGGAGCTGATGTGTTCAAAAGTTCGTCTATTGATTGTATTTGGGATATCGTGACTACCTTGGCTCATTCACACGTCTGCCTTAAAGAGCCTCCTACAGCTCCTCAGAGACAGTCTCGCTCTTCTTCTCAAGGGCGGGGAAGTCAGCGAAGCCGAGCTCATACACGAGACCCAGAGTCATCTTGGCATGCTCAAGCATGTGGTCAAACGAGAGGTACTTGATGAGGTCGTCGACGCTGTGAATGTGTTGATCCGAGTCCTCAAAGGCAGACTCGATAACGAAAGCCGAAGGGTAGCCGGCCTTGCTGGCGGAAGCATGATCCGAGCAGGCGTATCCGCACTTGGTCTCGGTGAAAGGGATCTTGCAGTACTGTTGATATTGTCAGCATGATGTCGTGAGTCATGGAAGCAATGGGAAGAACATACCTCAACAATGACCTTCTTGATGAAATCAGTTAATCCAGCATCAACGAAGTCGGTGATGACGCCAACACTCTCAGGCTTGCCGGCATCGAGCGTTCTTTGCACGAAGCCAGTCATGTCCTGCTGGAGCATGGCCTTCACATCACGTCCGTCCTGCTCGTATGACTTGAAGATGGCTTGGCTACCAAGGAGACCGCCCTCCTCGGCGCTGTACCAGTGAAACTCGATCGTGTTGTCGGCCTTGCCTTCGACGACGTCCTTGGACTTGAGCAAGGTACGAAAGACCTCGAGGATGGTCATGGAACCACTGCCATCATCGTCGGCGCCGGGCGCGGCCAGGATAGATGGCAGCCAAAGGTTGATGGAATCTTGGTGGGCACCAATGACGACTGTGCGGTTAGACTTGCCCGGAATTGTAACAATAATACTGCTTTGTTGCCATGTGTGGGGGAACGCCGCGGCGGAGACGTGCTTATCGGCACCCGCATCCTTGATGATGGAGTTGATCTTGGAGAGAAGCCACTCGGACGATTGGCGGCCGTAGTCTGACTTGTAGTATCGGGTGTGGAAGCTGGTAAATTTCTCGAGGTTCTTCTGGATCTCGTTCTTGTCAAGGTCCTTAATCAAGGGCTTGACCTTGTCTTGGAGCGTGCACTTCTCGGGGAAGACGGGCTTGGCCTTGGCCCTGGTGCGCAGGCCTGTCTTGCCAAAGTCCTGGTGATCGGTGATATCGAAGAAACGATTGCCATTCTGCAGAGTTGCACGTCAGTACACAAGAAGGACGGGATGCATGCGGTGTCGTCTTACCCGGCGGAGCTCCCACTTCTCCTCCTCGGTGACCCAGCGAGTATCACCTTGGGCCAGCTCAATTAGGTACTTCTCAGGCTCGGAGCCGGCGGGATACAACTGGACGCGGTTGATCTCGTCCTCGGCAACAAAGCGGGCGACGGCCGAGTGCGCCAAGATGGCGAGAAGCGAAGCTTTGGCAACCTTCATTTTGGATTGATGTAGTTGATCAAGTCGTACAGTCTGGGGATGATGAGGTGGGCGGGTGGATGTCAGAGGGAAGAGGAGTCGCCGTCATGTCGCGGGTTGCTTTAATAGGTACGAATAGGTAAGTACCTAGCTAGGCAGGGGACGCCACTGCAACAGCTTACGCAGGACCCAACGTGTGGAACCGAAGCTCCCCTGTCTGCAACACATCACCCAGGTGCCGCTAGATTCAAGGCCAGTCATTGGATATTTGGTCACGAGAGACCCACCTCGCATCATGCTCCTCCAGTGTCGTTGCCTGGGAACGACGCCAGTGTTATCGGTAATGCAGGGGTCTAGATAAGAGGCATCGCCTTACCTCGGGTATCCGCTTGGAATACTGAAGCTACCCAGAAACCATCACGTCATCTGCGCGGGAGCTTTCTCCTGTCCCATTTGTTGATATGCAGCCCAGCCGCTGCTGCATCAAGCTGAAGCTGTCAGCAAATACGCCGGGCCTCCAACACTGCTTGACCCAGAGATCACGGAACTCACCCCGCGATCTCGATATTTGCCGCGAATGCCGAGATAAAGCCCGATGGGGAAAAGAGCATCGTGAGACACGCGCATGGCCAAGCGACGTCTCCAGCTTCAGACGAACCAACCCACAGCAGAGGCTTGTCTGGCGCCGCTTAACATTCAGCATCAAGCGTTTCGCCGTCGCAAAAATACATGCAACACCAGGCATTCGCCCGTCGTCTCCGACCGGACTACTACTCTGGCCCTCATTAGTTTATCTATGAGAGAGCGGACGGGATCTCGAGTTCTCCAATGGGTGTGGTCGCATGTGTTGGAGTCCAGTGGTGTTGCTCCTTGAGAACAATCGATCGCACCACGCCATAGCTTGTACAAATGGCCGCACTCGGATTGGACTGCCTTGCCCTGTTGAGATTTGGGTCTCAAGGTTGCTTATGAGCCAAGGTGAAATTGGGTAAATTTGGTACGCAGCTGAGCAATCCTGAACTTGGGACCTGGGCAGCAGCAGTATAGTGCCAGTAGAAGAGATGTAGATGGACTCCCAAGCACGGCTATCCCAGGATCTTACAGGGAAAACATGCGGGAACATGATACCCGGCCCTTCAGCGTGTATCGCTCCAATCCCTTCCAAAACAAATGCCAGGCTAACCAATTCGAGCTCATCTGAACCTACATCTCTAACTTCGGACGTGGCAGCTACCATAAAGTCCCTGTATGGGTTGTAAAAAACATGGTAGGTTCGGGGAACGGACTTTGGGCGCGGACAGCAAACCTTCGTCCGGAAGAAGGCGATGATCTTACGGGGAAACATCGCATTTCCCCAATCCAGATCCCCGCCCGTATATAGAGGGACTTTAGCAGCCGCCGTCATGCCGGGAGCAGTCTCATGCATGACGCTACCACGTCTATTGATAGCCTCGCCTTATTAGAGCTCCTACGTCTCCTAATAAACATACCCTCCTCCTCTGGATTTACCTCAGAATACTCCTCCAGTTCACCTCGAACCACAGGCCCCTCGTCACTCAATTGAGAACCACCGACACCATGGCAGACTCTCGGCCAAAAGACAAACCCTTCGACCTCATCCAACGCGGGGTCAAGAGGACCAGCGTACCAGGCATCCTGACCTTCGTCGGCCTTCGCGGTCTTGATCCAATACTCCAATACAAGCTCATCGCTGGTGGTTGGGGCGCCTCCCTCCTCTCCAAACTCGGTCTCAATGTCGTTCTGCCCCTCACTGCCGCCTCCAACACGGGCATCGCCCTCATCGACAATCTCAACCTTCCCCTCCCGCACCTGATCCTCCTCGGCATGTCTGTTGGCTCCTTCGCCAAGCAGGCGTACTGGGTCGTCAGTGTTTGTGCTGAAGAGTTCGGCCCCTCTGCGGCTGTGCCCGTGAGCATTTACAACACACTCGTGAATAGCGCCAACTCATTACTCTTCCTCGCCGCCTCGACCTCCGTCTTGGCCTCTCCTCTCTACTTCCCCGGCACCTCTCTGCCGTACCAGGCCGTCCTCGGAAGTGCCCTGTTCGGCATCGGCATGTTCCTCGAGACCGCGTCCGAAGAGCAGCGCAAGCATTTCAAGGCGAAGCCTGAGAACCAGGGCAAGGTCATTCGCGAGGGCCTCTGGAGCTGGGCGCGTCACATCAACTATGGTGGTTATGCTCTTTGGCGCGCGGGCTACTGCATGGCTGCGTCTGGCTTCATCGGCGGTACCATCATGGGTGTTGGACAGGCATTCGACTTTGTCTCGCGCGCCGTGCCGGTATTGAACGAGTACTGCACCAAGAGATACGGCGAGCAGTGGGATCAGTTCAAGAAGGAGACGAAGTGGGTTATCCTACCTGGCATCTACTAGTCACCTGGTCCAAATGGTATTAAACACTGATGATGTTTCGGCATGCGAGCGGCTCAAGTGGCACTGCACCAGAATTGCCTAGAAGTTATTCATGTTATACACAACGACTTATCACACCCGGTCACAAGGCAACGCAAACTAAAATATATCTCATGTAATAGCATCTATATCGGAGTTCCTCAGTCGACCGGGGTATGCAAGTGTCCTCCAGATGCGGGCTCACGACTGAACCATCAACCATATGCCTAGAAAATGAAAAGAGTTTGATACATGATAAGAGGCAAATGTCAAAATGTCGCCAAGCCCGCGACCCAGCGGGCGTATGCCTAGTATCGTATGCACCCTTGCTCACATGCTGTCTTCCATTTGCCGACTCCGTACCTTTGCCCAGTCGTCGCGCTCCTTCTTACCACCCTGATCCTCCAGACCCATGCCTCGCTCAACCCATTCGCGACTGCCCATGTGGCTCAAACGAGAGAGCGCACGTGCGAACGCGAATGCCTCCTCGTCGCCCGAAAAGAGACCCGAGAGACCCTTGATTGAATCAATGTTCTGATCCAAATCCTCGAGCAGATGACTCATCGCGCCGTCGCCCTGTCCAGCTTCTTCCTTGCCCTGCTTGCCTAGCGACTCTTCCAATTCCGCGCGAGACACGAAGAGCTCCGTCAAAGGCTTCTCCGTCGTAAGAACAAGCTTGGCATGCGACTCGTACACAGCATCGATAAAGGTGATGAAACGACGTGCCAGATCTCGCTGGCGGTAAGTCATACCCGGGATTTCGGTCACGATGAATGCATCGTAGCAGCGCACCAGCTCAAGGTAGTCGGCGGCGGACGTAGGCTTGCCGATGAGCTCGTCAAAGGTGAACCAGGCGCAGCGGCCGCTCACGCGCGGCACGTGGATCTCGCGGCCCCAAACCTTCTGAACCTCCGGGTGAGGCTCGGGGGAATCGGGATCGCCGAGGAAGCGGAACCATTTCTCGGCGTGGGAGCTTGCGTGTGCGTCCAGCGGCGTGTGGTAGACGCCAGAAGGGGGTCTTGGGATTTTGCGATAGTCTGTCGGAGAATCTAGGTTGATGACGTGGAGCCGGTTCTTGAGCAACTTGATTGCCGGAACGAAAGATTCGCGCTGGATGCCGTTCTTGTATAGTTCGTCGGGGTGTCGGTTCGATGTGGTTACCAGTACAACGCCATGCGACATGAGTGATTCGAGCAATCTGTTGACGGTCAGTCGGCTACAGTTCCCATGCCTAGCTTGTGCTGCTCAAAACTCACCTCCTAAGAATCATAGCATCTGCTACATCTGTACACTGGAACTCGTCGAAGCAGAGGACATTGCCCTTCTCTGCGATGTCGGCAGCGACAAAAGGCACAGCGTCGACATCGTTACCGTGCAGCATCTTCATCTTATGAAGGCGCTTGTGGACGTCTTGCATGAAGTTGTGGAAGTGGATTCTCGTCTTGGACTTGACGGAGCTTGGCAGGGTGTCATAGAACAAGTCCATAAGCATCGTCTTGCCACTGCCGACATCGCCAAACAGATAGAGCCCGCGGGGCAGATTCGCCGGAATGGCGCCAATCGCGGCTTGCGCTTTGCCTCCGCCGAACCAGGATCCAAACACTGATTTCGCAGGCTTCAGGGAATCGAGAGTCGGGTGCACGACTGCTGGCGCTTGGTAGTTGACGAGCTCGTCGTGAAGGTGTTGAAGGCTCTGAATGATGCCTGTCGCCCACCCGATCGCATTAGCATGTGATCCTAGCCTTTGCGCCGCAAACCTGCTCACCTCTCTGGTGTTCGTCGTTTCGCAAGATGCCGTTGTCCACCCGCCGATCGTACTCCTGGATCGGACCAAAGTCATCTCTCGTCACTGTTGCCCCTTTAGCTCCTGCGCCTCTCCCCTCGGCTTCTATGAACCCACCGTTGTTCCCCTCTGTTGCCGCTGCTACCGCTGACGCTGCCCTTCTCTGTCCAGCATAGCTCGCGTATTGCGGCGCCGGAAAACATTGCGCGACCGTGGTTCTGGGTTTGTTGGCACTCGTCCTGCTCGCCAGACAGGCTGTACAAAGTGTGCGGTGGAGGGTGGGCTGTCTCGGGAGGCTTCGGGCGAGCGGCGGCGACTGGCATAGGCGACGGAGGGGGAGGGAGGAAGAAGCAGCGACGCCGCGCATGGTGGGCTGCGGGCAGATCAACAAAAACAGAACTCTATAAGAATCGATGCGCGCAGAGACATGTTATGCGGTCCGCGCTCTCGGTGCATTGGCTGAACGAGAAGATGCAAAAGGGACGATGTGGAAGCCACAGAAACGCTTTCGTCGCCCAGCACATTAAAAAATGACGCTATGCCTGCCGGCGATACTTGTAGGTGCCGAATTAACGGGTTAGTGGAGCGGGCGCCACGGCTGACCTCGGGAAGACATCCATGGATCCTGTCCGGATTCTTCGTTCTTCGGTGTTCAGCGTGACAGTGTCCCGCCTGCTGTTGGCGGTCGCAGGGCACCTTGTCAGTGCCGTCGCGGGGCCCCCCACCTTGCCGAAGTATCTCCTTTCCTCCTCGTCTGATTGGACATCCTTTGGCTGCACCAAAGCATCGGATGTGGCTGGTGATGGCCTCAGCTTCTTCGGCATTGGCGCTCAGACCAGATGGTTCAAACCAACTTCATCCCTTCAAACCGAGGGATTGTCGAGTCGGACGAAGACCTAATTTTTTGATACGGACGAACACCGGTTTCGTTGTTTCTGCACTGAATTTGCCTTCATTCTCTAATGCATTGACAAGGTCCCCGGTGACCCCCGGGTTGAACGCTGGGGACGAATGTGTATGAGAACCAAATCATGAGCTGCGCTTCAAGTAGAGCATCTCGCAAGAGGCCAAGGTATATATCAATCGGACATGTTAGGTTTCCTGATCATCTGCATTGAGCATCCACGCGACGGTAAATTTCCAGCTTCTGGGGTTACACAAAGCCATCCCCACAGCTTTCAACCGATGATTGGCAAGTTGGTACCAGGCATGTTTGACATCACTGGGTGGGTTTCGAAAAACATAATCTGCACCGCGTGGCGATTCTCGTCCGCGGTTGGCGTCCATACCCCCAGAGCCTTGGATCCCGGTGTAAGCAGGAGTCAAACCAGGAGCCCCAGACAGAAATTGTATCTCGGGACACGAGCCGGCTCCTTTAATCCCGGATGAGATGGGATGGGGTTTTCTACGGAAGCGAACATTTTCAACCAAAGGACTTGAGGGGAGTCACAAGAACCTTTTGCTTCTCAACAGAAGAGCGCGAAAATCATTCACACATTAAGAGTGCGCCTCATCAGCAGGCACATCTTGGCAAGCTCGGATTGACCTGAATGCCGATGGAGCCGCTCGCAGAGCCCCGTCCAAGTGTTGTTGGAGATCATTCTGTGGGAATTCCAGACCGTGCTGTTGATTCTAGACTCGATTCGCCACAGGCTGGGCCTGATGCGCAAGCACTAGACCAAAGATCTAGACCTCCAGAGATCGGTTGCCCAACTGCCCGACAGCCTCGCATCATGTTGTGCTTTCGCACTCGTTCAAAATTGAGGCCTTCAGCCCTCATGTCATGTTAGAGAAGCTAATGGCTATTCAACTCATATCCACAGGGGTTTCCAGGCAGAAGCAATCCCTCACCCAGCCTGTCAATGTGGAAAAGGGGGTTCGCTGAGGTTAGGTGCCCGTAGTCCGCGGAGGCGCACTCGTTTGTCTCAAACATTGAACGGTTTATTGCAGCCTCCGTAAGGTCTAGACATCCATGGGTCCAAAGAACCCTGGGACTCTCGTGACCCAGGTACGCATCCCCAAGAGCATGCTTGCCCAACCCTGAGCGGACAGATCCATCCCTGTCAACGTTACCCCCCAACGGACGTTAGGCTTCACTACATTGCCCCTGAGCCTCAAGGTGAAAGGCAGGAGAGATCCATCGCATGCAACCGTCGGCTGATTTCTTGCTGTCTCTGCGTTAGCGGTGGTACACGGCATTGTCGTGTCTTGCTTCCTGTCATCACACCAATGCACACACCGGAAGAGTGCTGGGTACGCCGTAGGCCTTAAGGTACTCCGGGGAGTCAAATTTGGCAAAGGGTGGCTTCGGGGAGAATCCTCAATATCGATGTAGCAACACTTGCATACTGGAGCCAGCAAAGCTTGTAACTAGCTGGTGGTGCCTAAGTCAAAGATCGTGGCATCGGTCTCCCGTCAACCTCCTGGAAATAGAAGCATGCAGCAACGAGCAGCGAATGTGAGCTTCTGGCCTACTGTCGGCGAAGGAGAAGACCTGAAGACTTATGTTGTTACCCACAATCCTGAGAAATACGGGGAGAAGCAATAGGGGGCAAGATTGCTGGCTGCTCAGTGCGGCCGTGGGGCTCAATCCTTCGCTCAGACGGCCAACGATGCTCAAACAGTCCTCTAGTATAAGTAATGATGCCATACTAATCCTCTTTCTCAAAGCTCACGATATTATCAAGCCAAGTAGCCGTGCCTTAAACGCGCTACAAGTCTTATCGAAATCGCTCGACATCAGCGCGAGGGGCAACTCTCACAATTTATCACGGCCGATGCCAGATGGTTTGAAATACTGATCATCAGAGCTCGGTGCCATCTTTATTACGCATTGAGATCTCGAGTTCGGGATCCGAGCCCGTGGCCGTGAAATTTGTGGAGTTTACACTAGAAATTGTCCGTGACTCATGTTGTGCTCCAGGACAGGTCCCTGAAGATCAAGCCGTGCAATGTGATCTCAATTACCAGCGTACACGGTGTGATGCTGATAGCGATAATCTTCGGAGACGTGCAGAAGTATCCTTATGAGTCTCTGTTGGCTTAGACTTCTAAGGCTACGCAGTTGCAGCATCCCGCTGCGACGCCCTGGGCGCCTTGACCTGACGACAGTCGGAGCTGTAAAGTAGGTACTCAAGTCTTTGATAGGTGCTTGGCTTTGTTGTCGTGCCTCTACTTCGAGTCTAAAAGAGCATCGATCAAGGGGTCAGTATCGATATGGTGAAGGGAATCTTTGAACATCCGTTGTTCGTCGAACAGCGTGATTGTGAGATTCCAAGTCGAAGACGCTGCCCTATCTCGGGAGGTAATTTAATAACTACAGACGAGAAGGGCCTCTGCAAGAGATCTCGAAACAAACGCGCACTGGAGCACAATTTCGGCAAGCCATTCGCCGCCCCAAATTGAGTCGACTTTGCACCAATCGAACAACCTACTGTGCCCCTCAACCAGGCACAATGGTCACCGTACCAGGGATTAGCAAGGTTCAGAAACGATACCTTTCAACGAGACGTAATAGAGCACGGCAAAGGGAGGAAGACTCGTGGCTGAAAAAGACGTTTCTGCCCCTTGTTAGCAGCTGGCTCAGGCCCCAAGATCCTACAGCCCCTGAAGTGGGAAGATGCTTCTTTCCCAGTCCCAAGGTCACCTTTTTGATCGATAAACCGGAAGACTTGATCTGCCAGATATGCCGATACAGTCGTCTGGCTTTTCAGGAGCAGACTGAGATCGAAAGCGAAAGGAGGCATTCCGACAGCATCCCCTTGATCATGCCTTGCGGGCATTTGGCAGGAGCTCGATGTCTGTCAAAGTGGCTCCGAGAGAACAACAGCTGCCCGTTTTGCCGTTGCGAGCTCACTTACGGCCAGTGTGGACATGGAGTACCTGCACGCCACGTCACAAGGGAGGAAATCTTCCTGATACCTACCACGATCCCAGACGGAGGCCACATACCAGACCGCTGCGCCGTATGCTACAAGGATGCGCTCAGCATAGCTGTTCAGACACGATTACAGGCTTGCGAGCGTCGATTCGTGCAGGCAAGAGCCCGTTTTCTAGCATCCAACAGTCCTTCTGACGCCAGTCTCTTGATACAAAGAAAGGCGGACTTGGAAAACATTATGCTTGACGAGTACCACATCAAGGTCACCAGCGCATGGCTGACGTGCTGGTAAAAAGTGACCGGACGAGGGTCCGCAAAGAAATCGAGTACCGAGCGCACAGCCGGTTGGCTGCGGACCAGCGGAGCAGCTCAAACCTATCAGACGGGCGTGGGATGTCCAAAGAAGAGACGACTGTTGGGTGAGACACACGGTGTAGAAAGTCTCGGATTGCGCGTAGGCATCATCAAGACGAGGATGGCAGCCGACAGGTCCTCTCTTTGGGGGTTGGTTTCTTTTTCTATGCTTCCTCCACCCCCCTAGACCACATGTGTGCTGCTGAATGTTTTGCCAGGAATAGACGACCCACGACGCCGAAATTGGCATCGACGGAAGGCTTTGACGGTTACAGCGGAGGCAGGCTTCCATGGGCTGGCCACCTGGGAGCTGTGTGTTCTTACCATCAGCTGAGGTCGATGGGCGGTCGGACGGAAGTGAAAAGTGATGGCTGGGCCTTCAGCAACGAGTTTCGAGACGATTCCCGAGTGCCTGAAGCAATACTCGGTAGCAGGCTGGGCAGGCCGGCAAGACCAGGCAATCGCAAAATTTGGAGCGGAAGGATCAGGTGCTCTGGCAGTCGGATGCCGCCTGGCTGCAGACGAAGCGTGATAGCAGGGCTAATGCATGTACGGAGTGGCAGCGGAAGGCACCCGGGAGGCTGCGAGGCAGGCCAGGACGCCATGGGCGCACACACAAGGCAGGCAGGCTAATGCAGTGCGGTTCTCCAAGTTGATTGAACCAGCCAGGGCGAGGTCGGAGGTGGCAGAGGCGAGAGCCGCCTTTTTTTTTTTTTTTTTTTTTTTTTTTTGTCTTTGCCTTTCTTGAGACCGAGATGGGAGACGGGAAGAGAGGCAAAAGATGAAATAAGAATGAAATCTTCAAGCCGTCATGTGCTGCGTGGGTGCGTATGGCATGTATTGGCGGCGGCGACGCCTCAGCACCGTTCGCATTCTCGAAGCCCTTGTGCTGCTGAGAGCTGACCCGAAATAGTGGACCGGACGTCTTTTCGTTACGTAGCAAACGAGAAGGATTGTCGTCAAAGATGCGTGACATGTGCACTAAGAGCTGGAAGAATACCGGGATGGATACGTCAACGGACGTGGATGCGATGGTGGAGTGCACCGGAGTTCAGTGCATGTGGAAGGGAAGAAGAAAGCCCAGGTCCT